ACATTCTTAGAGAGGGGGGGGGGAGTAAACATTTTTAACAGGGTAGGGGTAAAAACCTTTTTAGAGGGGGGGGGAGGGTAGAAACATATTTAGAGGTAGGGAGGGGAGGGGACCTAGAAAGACATTTTCATAAAAACATACAGAGGGTTAGATAAAAATGAAGGGACCGTACACATATAAACAGTAAATTTTCAATTGTAAAGGTGCATGTTTTATTCACAACACTACCGTTTAAAGCTTTGCCTGATCAAGAATTCATGAGATATCCATCATCTTATCGATGTAAAATACTTATTTTAAATTGTGTAGATCTAAAGGGACTTGTGGATTTCTGTTTCAAAAACAATGAGAGAAATTGTCAAAATCAAACAATTTACAAGTTAGAACGGAGACTTTTTCTTCAACATTTTCTTTCAAGTAAAGGTTAAAGGTGTACCGATCTAGCTGTTCGATCTGAAATTAGCCATTTGATGTATTCACATTTTTACTATAAAGAATATGTACATTTCCAATTGTTGCGAGCAAGCATTATAAAGCGTATTTGAGTGTATATGCCTGGACCCTGAGTATAGCTTCAGTAAGGCCTAAACCAACTATGGACGCTGATGTAGACATACTTTGATGTATTTCTTTAATAGATACACTCGTGTAAGTATTTATATGAAATCATTATAAAAATTGTTCTAATCAATGTTATGTTGTTGCTATAATAATTCAATCTATTTCAGTTCAACTCTCCTCGCCCTTTCATCTGTTGTTAAACTGTAAGAAAATCTACCAAGTAAAAAAAGAATCAAAGAAGAAACAGTTTATGTATAGAGAGAGCAGTTTGAAACCGGTCATCCAAAGGATATCAGTCAATATACTAAACAAGGTTTCCCCCTCTTTAAATAGAAGGTCAATTGACAAAGACAGTTCTTTAAGGAACGAGCTTTAACCCTACTTGAAACCCAGTATACGCTGGGGGGGGGGGGGTCTCAATTTGATCCCTCCCTCTCTAAATCCCATGTTTGATGTCCAAATATGACAAATGAAACATTATTTGAAATCTCTAATGCTTCACTTTTAGAATCTGCAAAAATATTGCACATCTACTGTATATAAAATTTATCTTTGCAAAGTCCAGTTATATAGTAAAAATATTTGCAAAAAAAGGTCCAAAAAATGATAAATTTTTCATTTTTAAATCGCCATTGACAATGACCATACCATTTCAAATATGCAGAAATTTGTGCAAAATTTTAAATTTTAATGTGTAATTATGAAAAACTAAAAATGCGGAAACTTCTTTTGTGTAAATAATTTGCAAATTTTGTTTGCAAAACTTGTTTAATCTACTTTATTATGTAATAGGCTTTCTAAAAAGCTAAAAATCATAAAAAATGTGAAAACTAACAGTGGATCAAATTAAAAATTTAGTTTGTTATAGGAAAAAGCAGTCATTCAGGCAGTGTGCCTGAGGCCTCAGGCAGTTAGTAAAAAGCCTGATTTTAGGCCTTATGAGAGGGATATATGAGTATTTAGGAAAAGTCAGCAAATTTTAACAGCCTTAGACCATACAACGCAAATCACTCTGGGCCGTAGTAAATTTGAATTCAAACAGGACCTGCCCAGTTTGTACCGGCCTGCCAGATAACACCGTGTACTGACCCGATCCTATGACCATATTCTGTACAGTACGTCGCCCTAACCAGACTAAAATACGACAGGGGTCAATTTTCTTGTCATAGTCCCGTCGGAGGGCTAACAATGACAACTCCCATATTGCGCGTTCAGACTATTTAAAGTACCCGGCCTAATCCTAGGCATATTTGACTAACCCCGCTGGCTTAGTCCACCGTGAAATGGATAGACCCCAAAATATCTTAAATTTCCTGCTCTGCTCTGGACACTGGACTAAATGTTTCTATTTATCCCTGCAGTCCTTGAAGGATCCAGGTAACACTCTGTCAACTTTATTATTCCGCAGGGAAAGAGATCTGAAAAAGCAAAAACTGTTGAATTTATAAATTCTGAAATTCTAAAAATGAATAATACACAAAAAATGTTTTATAAAATGATTTTGCATTATTGACAGTCGTCTTAAAAACCCCAAAAAGCAGATATGGCGAAGGTTGCTCAAGCTTGCATATTTTTGCTAGCCCTTTCTGTAAGTGGCTAAAAAATTAAATCGGGAGGTTTCTTGGAGATTAAAACTTAATATAATACACATGTATTTCCAGAAATTTTTTTGTTGATATAAAAAAGTAACACAATTCTTAACGAGCTTTCCATATTACTGCAGCTCTCATGAAAAAGACGACACTCATTCCAATCCAAAGTTTTCTGGTAACCACTGTATAGTTACCTTAGATTTGGGGTTTGTTTACAAACATCAGAAATACTGGTTATTGCATTGTTGTCGAGTATAAGGTGTTGTACAGTACTGTGAACTGCAGGTACAATTGTTAAGTTTCCTGATGTACAATCCATCCTTTCTTTGGTGCAAATACAGCCACCAGGACAATCCTGAAAAAAATCTAAGAATTGTTGTTCAAAAAATTTTTTATAAGTTTTACATGGAATTTAAGTTATTGTAAAAAAATATTTTTTTAAGGGAAAGGAATTGAGTTTTTGCAACAAGTTCAAATGTTCTTATCCCTTTATCTTTGCAACCAATGGTGTAAACCTTTATAATTTCAACAGAATTCATATTTTGAAATATCAAAGGTCTACAACATAGGGTTGCAAAAGATGTAGGGTTTGTGGCAAAAACTAATTTCCTTTGGTTGTAGCTGAACGATTTCGTTCGAAATGCTGTCAAAAGCTAGAAAATAAACAATTGTGACACGCTTTAAGTTACGTACATATCTTATAAAAAACATTGAAACCAATCATTTTTAATGATTTAAAAAACCCAAATTTATTACGTTGTATGATGTATCTATACGAAAAGCAATAAAAAGTTATCACTGTATAAATTTTTTTCATTAAATCCATGAAAATGCAAATTCGTTAATTAACTCCCTTTCAAGAGTATTTTTCATTTATGTGTTTAGAAACTTAAAAAACTCTACGACAAAAAATTTCTGATGTATAAAATTCTTCAAAAATACTTGAAACCCTTTTTCGGGAACACCCTTTATCTGGAGTAATGGTTGGAAGGCTGAGGGAAACGCCCTAATATATTGTTGAACAATAGTCAATATTAGGAAATATTATTTAAAACATGAACAAATGATTAAACAAGATACAATGAACAATTAATAGAGGAATTGAGTCTTTGTCACAAACTATGATTTTCTAATCTCTATATCTTTGTAATCCAATGCCGTAGACCTTAGATATTTCAAACTATGAATTCTGTTAGATGAAAAAATCTAAGTTTGAAATATCAAAGGTTTACACCATCAGGTGGAAAGCATATAGGTATTAGAAAATCAGAGTTTGTTACAAAAACTCAATTTCTTTGCTCTAAATTACAAATATAAAGGGTTTAGTGTGAACCTTTGATATTTCAAACTTAGCTTTTATAATCTGACAAAATACATAATTTGAAATATTTGAGGTTTACAACATTGGGTTACAAATATAAAGGGTTTAGTGTGAACCTTTGATATTTCAAACTTAGCTTTTATAATCTGACATAATACATAGTTGGGAATATAGGATGTTTACAACATTGGGTTACAAATATAAAGGGATTAGAAAATTATAGTTTGTGGCAAAGATTCCATTCCTTTGTCATTTGATTACCATTTTTAAATTGCAGTATCCAGAAGAAGAAGAAGAAGAAGAAGAAGAAGAGCAAGGATTAGCATATCTTGAAGAAATCAGTTCTCCTGACAACCTAAACATAATTTCCGTAAAGCTGGTTTTAATCTTATAATGAAACTTTATTTTATATTTTTCTTTTGAGAGGATAATTAACATTAACTTTTATAGTAGTGGACAATATATTGTACTCTAAAATCTAAAAAATGTTATTTTTCTATAAAAAAATCATTTTAGAATAAAAGTTAAAGTAAAACAGGGTTTTTTGGGTGAAACTATCTCCAAGAAAGATCTTTAAAATCTTTTATTGATAAAAACATATCTAAGAACTTTCATCTTTCTACTCATGATACATCAATGAAAACTGAAAAATCTGCGAAATCAAAAATGTTTTTGTTTTATAATATGCGAAAAGAAAATATCTTTTATGGAGGGTCACTTGAAATTACGCTCATAGTTCCTTTAAGATTGAATTATGTAGATACTGATAATTTTTTTGATTGTGTAAACTACCTAAATATATTTTAAAATCATGTGACAGACCTATCATGAGATCTCAAATTAAATCCCCCAATTAGTAATCTGATAAGATTCGTATCGTTCTATCTAAAATGGGGGATTTTTCATTTATCTTTCAACGCATGAAATATGTTTCTGAACTTTTTGCACAAATGACGAATTCAAAGAGTTAGAATCTGAATTCTTTTCTTCCTAACAAAACAGGGTGAAAATATTTCTCGTTTTAAAGTTGATATTTTTGGAATAAACTTAAAAATGCTAATTAGAGAAACATGTCTTTTTAGAGGCTCTGCAAGAGGGATAATGTAAAGAAGAAGGTAAAAAAGAGAGGAGAAAATTTCTTTTTTTTTCGCAAAACAGATCAAAGCGAAATTTTCGGCGACAATTTTTTTTTCGCGAAACGATTTACCCTTGTTGCTGTAAGCCCTAGGTGTGGTGGGGGGAGGAGAGTAAAAGAGGAAAAGTATAATGTAGATTAAGGGGGGGGGGGAGAGTCTAAACTAGGATCGTCTAGAAGTTTCAGATTTTGTGATTAAATGAAAATTAATATTAATCTATATTTTCTATGCCAAGGATTCTGGAAACTATAAAGAAAAGTTTCCAAAAATATGGCTGAATTAGGATTATTCCATTGTTCTTAATGTTCAAAACATAAGAATTGATAACTTGCATAAAGGACTGTCAATGTAATTTAGAGAACATATCTGCCCGATTCACAACGGTACAGTTCTATTTAAACCTTTATCTGCGAGAATAAATAAAACAAAAACTTGATTCTCTAAATTCCAATCAAAATAATTTTTAAACAAGAGACTATACTTACTTTTCAGGAGTTTTACAAACAGCGGAACTTGTCTCTATACCTCTAAACAAGAGAAAATCAGAAAAAAATATCCAAAATAACATACATTTATAACCCCCCCCCCCTTCCAGCCTTTTTGAGTTATATATCCGGCATTTTTTTAAAGGAAATTGAGTTTTTGCCACAAACTTGCATTTTCTAACCCCTATATCTTTTCAACCTGATGATGTAAACCTTTGATATTTCCAATTTAGACTATTTGATCTAACAGAATTACTAGTTTGAAATATCAAAGGTCTAGAAAAACGGGTTGCAAAGTTATAGGAATTAGAAAGTCAGAGTTTGTGGCAAAAACTCAATTCCTTTACCGCGGGGAACGATTTTAATAAATTAAAGAGGTTGTTGAACCGCCGGTGATAAAAGATTTGCACCGACCGCGGCGTAGGATTGTTCTACGATCTAACTCAAGCTAATTCAATTTGGTTCCGGGAAAACTCAAAGCATGATATAAACAGGGTGAGTAAAAAAAGGTGAATATCAAGATCTTTTATTAGCAATCTGACCTTTTTAAAAAATACTATTTTCCTTTAAACTAAATGAATAGAAAGACAAAAGTGCGGGAATATATTATTTCTATTACACCTTAAAATCTTAAACCGATCAAATTAGTAGTTTCGGAGAAAATGTGTGAAATTAAATTTGGAAAATCCGTAATTTTATTTTTTTTTAAAATCATTATTCTCTTAAAAATTTTTTTTAATGTGAATTTTTGTGATAGGTAAAATATCTAAATATTAATATTAGGAAAATACGCATACAAAAGTGTATTATTAAAATATGTTGATTTCTAAATTTAATTTTGCGCATTTTCTCCAAAACTACTCATCTCATTTGTTTAAGATTTTAAGGTGTGATAGAAATAATATATTCCCGCACTTTTGTTTTTCTGCTCATCTAATTTTAAGTAAAAAATAGTTTTACGGTTTTTAAAGGGTCTATCAGATTGCCAATCAAATTTTTTTTAATTTCATTTATATTTGTTAAAATGAGATTACCAGAAAAAACTGCTTTATTATATGCAAGAACTCGCTATTCACCCTTTTTTTTAATCACTCTGTAGATATCTACTGAAAATCTATACTGACCAATTGCAGACTTTCAAATAAAAACTTTATATGTCACATCAAAATTAGGTTGCAAATTGAATGCAGTAAAATATCCCAAAAATAAAAAAAAAACCTTCAAGGTTTTTTCAATTGTAATGAAATTTCGCTTTATTAAGAATATACACTGTACTCTGTATCTTACCTTGAATTTAGAAAGGAGCTGAGCCATGCTAATTCACAGTTACAATCCCAGGGGTTCAAACCAAGGTGCCTTATTTAGATCATTTTAATAATAATTACGATAAAAATAATAATAATAATAATAATAAAAATAATAATAATGATATTTATAATATAGAAGTATTGTATATTTGTATATTGTGTAAATCAGATACTCACAAAGTTTTAATGTTTTCCAATGGTTTGAAGAGATTATTCGGTAGTCCCTGCAGGTTGTTATCAAACAAGGAACTTAATATTAATTTAGGTTAAACAATTGTTTCCAAGTTTTAAAAATTAACAAAAAATTTCCTTCAAGGCCTTGGTTTAAATTTTTTTTTTAACATGGACATTTTACACCTTAACAAATCAGACAGGATAGCTCAAAATTTGTTCACAAATGCACTTGAAAAGGTCAAAAGTAAATCTTAATTCATTTTACTTACATTTTGTCCTTGAATAATGAATAAAAGCACTTCCTAATCTTAAACCAAACACTGGGACTAGATTTTATAATGTTTAATTTACTCACACAAGAACTAAATTCTTCTGATCCTGAAAGGAATGAGGAGGAATGCAGGTCAACTTGTTTTTGTTCAGCAATCTACAAATTGTAATCAATTAATTTAATTAATTCAATTAATTCAATTAATTCAATTAATTCAATTAATTCAATTAATTCAATTAATTCAATTAATTCAATTATGTCAATTAATTCAATTAATTCAATTAATTCAATTAAATATGTTTAAAACTTTTTATAAATAGCCAAGCAAATAATACATTCAGTTCTATCTTAGGTAGCAAAGATATAGGAATTACCAAATTGAAAGAAATTGCGGTGAGTGTTCAGTTTCTTTCGATCAGTGAGACTTATTTTGTAAAGTGCAACATTTGATTTATAGTATTTCATTAATAATAAAACTTACAGCATATGAAGATGATGAAGTCCTTCAAATAGTCCAGGAGGGAGCACTTCGAGTTCATTATCATAGAATATCCTAAACAATGCTTCGAGTTCATTATCATAGAATATCCTAAACAATGCTTTGAGTTCATTATCATAGAATATCCTGAACAATACTTCGAGTTCATTATCATATAATATCCTGAACAATAATTAGAGCTCATTATGATAGAATATCCTGAACAATAATTCGAGTTCATATTATCATAGAATATCCTGAACAATAATTCGATTTTATTATCACAGAGTATCCTGAACAATAATTCGAGTTCATTATCATAGAATATCCTGAACAATAATTCGAGTTCATTATCATGGAATATTCTGAACAATAATTCGAGTTCATTATTATAGAATATCCTGAACAATAATTTTAGTTCATTATCATAGAATATCCTGAACAATAATTCGAGTTAATTATCATAGAGTATCCTGAACAATAATTCGATTTTATTATCACAGAGTATCCTGAACAATAATTCGAGTTCATTATCATAGAATATTCTGAACAATAATTCGAGTTAATTAACATAGAATATCCTGAACAATAATTCGCGTAAATTATTATAGAATATTCTGAACAATAATTCGAGTTAATTATCATAGAATATCCTGAACAATAATTCGAGTTCATTATCATAGTATATTCTGAACAATAATTCGAGTTAATTATCATAGAATATCCTGAACAATAGTTCGATTTTATTATCACAGAATATCCTGAACAACAATTCGAGTTCATTATCATAGAATATTCTGCACAATACTTCGAATTAATTATAGAATATCCTGAACAATGATTCGATTTTATTATTACAAAATATCCTGAACAATAATTCGAGTTCATTATCATAGAATATCCTGAACAATAATTCGAGTTCATGTATCATAGAAGATTCTGAACAATAATTCGAGTTATTATCATAGAATATCCTGAACAATAATTTGATTGCATTATCATAGAAAATTCTGAACAATAATTCGAGTTCATTATCATAGAATATCCTGAACAATTCGAGTTCATTATCATAGAATATCCTGAACAATTCGAGTTCATTATCATAGAATATCCTGAACAATTCGAGTTCATTATCATAGAATATCCTGAACAATTCGAGTTCATTATCATAGAATATCCTGAACAATTCGAGTTCATTATCATAGAATATCCTGAACAATTCGAGTTCATTATCATAGAATATCCTGAACAATTCGAGTTCATTATCATAGAATATCCTGAACAATTCGAGTTCATTATCATAGAATATCCTGAACAATTCGAGTTCATTATCATAGAATATCCTGAACAATTCGAGTTCATTATCATAGAATATCCTGAACAATTCGAGTTCATTATCATAGAATATCCTGAACAATTCGAGTTCATTATCATAGAATATCCTGAACAATTCGAGTTCATTATCATAGAATATCCTGAACAATTCGAGTTCATTATCATAGAATATCCTGAACAATTCGAGTTCATTATCATAGAATATCCTGAACAATTCGAGTTCATTATCATAGAATATCCTATAAAACATTAAAATGTTTAACCTATTTTATTCTTGAATAAGATAAGAAATACTTACAGGGTAGTCAGCTTTGAATTGCTTTTAAAAGTTTCTTCAGCCATTTCAGAAATCCTATTACGAGATATATCACTGAAACAAACAAAAGGAATTCAGTCTTTGCCGCAAACTCAAATTTTCTACGAAACCTGATGGTGTAAACCTGTAATATTTTAAACTTTAACTTGTTTAATCTGACAAAATGTATAGCTTGAAAAATTTAAGGTCCATGATATCGGATTAAAAATCAGTGGTTTTGGCAAAGACTCAATTCCTTGACAATAAAAAAAACTAGTTTCTCGCCACAAAATAAAACCTTTGAATCTATCTTTTCAATATTATGTTCAAATCCTATTTCATATTTCAAATCATCGGGATGACAAAGATTAATAGATTTGAAAATTATAGTTTGTGGAGAGTAATAGGTTTCTAGTTTGGAAACCAATAGGTTTCTAGTTTGGAAACCGAGCTTTGCCATGGAAACTAAAAAATCTTTAAAGTTGGAAAGATTTTTAACTAAGCTAAGTATATTAACCATGAGTCTACTAAGTTCCCCAATTAAAGTTTGAGGCAAAAGGGTTAAGAGGCCAGTTTTTGAGTTTTGATTGGACATACAAACAGACAAACAGACTTTATGTATACATACATAAATATTGAAAAAAGTGATAAGGTGTTAATATAGAAGTATATGTAGATATACATATATTGAACAAGTAAAGTCAGACATATTTTTACTTACATTCTTTTTAGATTTGGAGCACTAGCAAATGCATACGATGGAAGATGGGTTATTTGATTTTTCTCTAATCGTCTAAACAATATAAGATGACAAACATTGAATTACACAAGTTGCACTTGAAAATGAATGTGTTAATGAAAAAAACCAAAATTGTTTTCTCAACTTTCAAAGAATTAAATCAAAACTAAACCTAAAAATAATGGATTTAGATTATGGATTTGGAGTATTTAGGAGATTACAGAAATTTGAAAAATTCAAAAAATTTAAGATATTAAATAAATAAACTTATGAATTAAAGACATTCAAAAATCAAAGAAACAAGTAGATTTAAAAACAAAAGGATATTTAAAAAAAATATCAGAGAGAATGAAGAGATTTAGAGAGAATGAAGAGATTTAGAAGAATGAAGAGATTTAAAAGAATGAAGAGATTTAAAAGAATAAAGATATTTAAGAGAAGAAGAGATTAGGGAGAATAAAGAGATTTAGAAGAATGAAGAAATTTAGAGAGAATGAAGAGATTTAAGAGAATGAATAGATTTAGAAGAATGAAGAAATTATATAAAATCAGATAGGATAAATTGTTTATTTCTAAAAATACACATAAAGGTTTTAATGTTACAGGCAAAAAGGTGCAACTAATTTTATTGTTTAATTGTTTACTATATGTATGTATTATAGCAATAGGTGGAGATTAGCTTACATTGTTTTTGGTATTATCCCATGAGAATGAAGAGAATTAGAAGAATTAAGAAATTTAAGAGAATAAAGAGATTTAAAAGAATAAAGATATTTAATAGAAGAAGGGATTAAAGAGAATAAAGAGATTTAGAAGAATGAAGAGATTTAGAAAGAATGAGGAGATTTAAAGAATAAAAGATTTAGGAGAATAAAGAGATTTATAAGAATGAAGAGATTTAAAAGAATGAAGAGATTTAGAAGAATGAAGAGATTTAGAAGAATGAACAGATCTAGGAGAATGAAGAGATTTAGAAGAATGAGGAGATTTAGAAGATTGAAAAGATTAGGAGAATGAAGAGATTTAGAAAAATTAAGAGATTTAGAAGAATGAAAAGATTTAGAAGAATGAAGAGATTTTGGAGAATGAAGAGATTACAAAAGAATGAAGAGATTTAGAAAATTGAAGAGATTTAGAAGAATGAATTTATTTAGAAGAATGAAAAGATTTAGGAGAATGAAGTGATTTAGGAAAATGAAGAGATTTAGAAGAATGAAAAGATTTTGGAGAATGAAGAGATTTAAAAGAATGAACAGGGTTAGGAGATATATCTCCAACAGTAACTTACAGTTCCAAAGTGTCAAATGGAAGAATTGAGGGAACTTCAGTCAAACCCAGAGATCTGCAGTCCACCGTTCCTAATTAATCAATTAATCAATTTATCAAGTATAATATATTTGACAATTAATTAAATAATCAAATAATCAATTACTTTAATACTTTTAAAATAATCAAATAATCAATTTTTTATTAATCATAAAAATAATAATAAACTAATTAATTAATCAATTAATTAGTTCTTAATTAGCCAATAAATCAATAAATAATCTACTATCAAATCAAAATATCTAAATTGGAATTTATCTGTTTATCAATAATCTAATTAACCAATTTATAAATTAATTAACTAATGCATTTTCAATTTCTGGATGTAATCGTTAAACAATCATTAGACAAGATGTCAACCATTATCAGTTCCTTATTATACTGAATCCAAAGCAGAAATGTGTCAAGCTGAATAAATTGTCAATTTCTTTGTTCCTTGAATATACTACTGTACAACACCTGCCGATAAGCACTAATACAGTCTGGTAAATTAAATATAGGAACAAAATACCAATGTCCGGAGAAGCACCGCCTCTTTTTACAAAATAACCGTGCCTGGTAAAGCACCTCCTCTTTTTACCAAAATACCCGTGCCCGGAGAAGCACCACCTCTTTTTACAAAATAACCGGGCCTGGTAAAGCACCGCCTCTTTTTACCAAAATACCCGTGTCCGGAGAAGCACCACCTCCTTTTACAAAATAACCGGGCCTGGTAAAGCACCGCCTCTTTTTACCAAAATACCCGTGTCCTGCGAAGCACCACCTCTTTTTACAAAAATACCCGTGTCCGGGAAAGCACCGCCTCTTTTTACCAAAATACCCGTGTCCAGGAAAGCACCGCCTCTTTTTACCAAAATACCCGTGTCCGGCGAAGCACCACCTCTTTTTACAAAAATACCCGTGTCCGGGAAAGCACCGCCTCTTTTTACCAAAATACCCGTGTCCGGCGAAGCACCGCCTCTTTTTACCAAAATACCCGTGTCCGGGAAAGCACCGCCTCTTTTTACCAAAATACCCGTGGCCGGGAAAGCACTACCTCTTTTTACAAAAATACCAATGCCCGGGAAAGAATTAACCCAAATGCTCATGGCCTGAGAAGCACAACCTTTTTTTCCAAAAACCGATGAACTATAAAGCACCACCTTTTTTATCTAATAACCATGTCTGGCCAGAGAAGCACCAACATTTTATACCTTTAGAGCATTTGCATTTGAGTGGGCAAACAAAGGATTTCTCAACACATGCATTCTCCTCTAGCTCCTCTGCAAATAGAATAAAGGAATTGAGTTTTTGCCACAAACTCTGATTTTCTAATTCCTATAACTTTGCAACCCGTTTTTCTAGACCTTTGATATTTCAAACTATTAATTCTGTTAGATCAAATAGTCTAAGTTTGATTTATCAAAGGTTTACATCCTCAGGTTGCAAAGATATATGAGTTAAAAAATGCGAATTTGTGGCAATAACTCAAATCCTTAGTATTATTTTAATTCTTTAAAACGCATCAAGCTAGTTTACGTAAATAGTGATCAGCAGAATTTGAAGAACACTTTTCCTTTATAAATCAGCTGATGTGAAAGAAATTTAAATTCAGCTGATGTTGAAGGAATGTCTAATTTACCATTTTAGACTAACTAGCTGATGTTGAAGGAATCCCTACTTAGCATTTTAATCAGCTGAAGTTAATGGAATCTATATTTACCTTTATAATCAGCTGGTGGTAAAGAAATCCCTATTTACCTTTAAAGTTTAAAAACAGCTGATGTTAAAGAAATTCATATTTACTTTTATAATCAGCTGATGTTAATGGAATCTATATTTATCTTTATAATCAGCTGATGGTAAAGAAATCCCTATTTACTTTTATAATCAGGTGATGCCAAAGGAATCCATATTACCTTTATATATCAGATGGTGTTAAAGGAATCCATGTTTACCTTTATAAATATATTTACCCTTTTATGCTTCCCTTTACCTTTACAAATGAGCTGATGTGGTAACACTGTTGACACACTTCGACCAGAATGACTATAACGTTTCAGTATTAATAAATTAAAAAAATTTTCCTTTAGATATGACCAGAGATTAATAACGATACAGATAGTACACTAGATGTGCTGAATTGCAAGACAGGGTAATTGTGAACGAAATTCCTAAATCTTGAAATGACAACATCCTGTGTTATATCCGAATTGTTATTAATCTATGGCGCTAACAAACTTAATTTGATGTATATTACTTCATGATAAAAAATATTTGTTTATTGAAATGAAAATACAAAAAATGTTGCAAGGAAAAAAACCCATGTTTTAGAAGATGAAACCGCTTACCTTGCAGGAGAATGACACAATATACCAATTCCTTGAAAGTTTCAAAACAATTAACAATGTATTTTTGACTTCTTTAGTAAAACGTCAAAACAAAAAATTAAATTTGATAAAATTCTTCATCAATTTTTGTAATTGCTTTTATTCCTAGATCAGGATGTTGTCTTAAAAATTTCGTCAACCACTCTACTCCACAACTATACCAATAACTTCTCAAATAGTGCACTCTTTAGATAAATCATATGTTCAAAATGTTCATAATGCTCTTGAAAAAGTCACAGTTTTGCAAAATTATAACTTATTGGATTAATTTGCTGTTTAACTTATTGATTTAATAAAAGTCTGTTAACATAATTTCAATGGACCTCGCGTTTGTAGAGCGGCATATGTCCAACTCACAGAGGAATCATTTACATCTTTGTATAATCAAGGATGACGAAGTTTTCCTTAAATATCTCGCTAAAAAAGGGTATCATTGTGAATCTTACAGGCTATATAAGATAATTAATTAATAATATTGATTAATAAACATCGAGAAGATTAAGTTTCCTGCAGTCTAAGAGATTTTGTTCTAACCGTAGTTGCCTGAAAAAAATTGACGAAATGTAAATTGACGAAATGTAAGCTAACCAAATGTAAAGTGACCAAATGTAAATTGACCAAATGTATTTTGACCAAATGTATTTTGACCAAATGTATTTTGACCAAATGTAAATTGACGAAATGTAAATTGACGAAATGTAAATTGACGAAATATAAATTGACTAAATTAAAATTGACGAAATGTAAGTTGACAAAATGTAAGTTGACAAAATGTAAATTGACCAAATGTAAGTTGAAGAAATGTAAATTGACGAAATGTAAATTGACCAAATGTGAATTGACCAAATGTATATTGACCAAATGTAAGTTGACCAAATGTAAATTGGCGTAATGTATACACTCCGATATAGGGGAGGAGTGGAATCCAGTTTTTTCTATATTTACTCATTTTAGAAAATTCTAAACATCTTACTTTACTATAAAAACTGCTTGGAAGTTTTAGAACACCGGACAATGAGGTACATAGAACATCGTAACACAAATTGGGATATAAGAAAGCTTTATATCCAAGTTAAGCAACAAAAATATGAAAATTGAATTAAATTTTTTAAAACATCTGACCTTAAGTTAGGCATGGACATGAATGCATTAGAAGGAAGATATTTCAGTTTATTGTTCTGCAGGTTTCTAAACATTTTAATTAAAAAATTATTTCATTAATATTTATCTATTAAACAAATAAAATTATCTTACAGGACTTCCAGGTTAGTGAGATACTTGAGAGCTGGGTCAACACATACAACAAACTCTATATCTTTAGATTCCAATGTCGTAGACCTTTGATATTTCAAACTATGAGTTCTGTTAGATCAAATAATATAAGTTTGAAGTATTAAAGGCTTACAACATTTGGTTTCAAAGATATAGGGATAAGAAAATCAGAGTTTGTGGCAAAGAATCAACTCATTTGTTACATATTTTAATATTGTCAAATTTAATTGAAAACAAATCATGTTGTTGTTAAAAAAATCGGTTTTTGCTTTTTTGCCACAAAATCATCTTTTTAAGACATGAACAGAAATCTGACAGAAAATTATATAAAGGTAAACCTGATTTCTTCTTTCATATTCCTTCTCCATCCTTCTTAATCTTGCAGTCTGATCTTCTCCTTTCTCTGCATTCTCCTTTAGTTATTATTATTATTGTTATTATTTTTATAATTATTATTATTATTATTGTTATTATTATTATTATTATTATTATTATTATTATTATTATTATTATTATTATTATTATTATTATTATTATTAAAACAAACTGACCTGTAAAACCTTTATATTAATAATACTTCGCAAAAATTTTGCAGTTAGCTTACTGAGGACATTATAACTCAAATCTCTAAATAAACAAGGAATTAAATCAATTAATTATAGCTAATCTAATTATAAATTTCTTGTCTATTTGTCTGTTTTTTTGTGTCCAATTAACGTCAAAACGGCTGAACACCGATCGGGCCCAAATTTTGTAAGGGACCTCACATGACCTCAGGGTCGGAAGGGATATGAATGATCAAAATTTCAAAAATTAGCTTTCAACAAAAATTGATTTACATTAAATTTTGAAATTCAACGAAATTTTATAATGAAATCCGCTTTGTTTAATCAAATATATATGAATTAGTTTTGTATGTTTTTAATTTCGAAAACTGATTATTTTATAATGTCGTTTCTCTACGTAAGTGACTCGCACATTTCTACTGAAGGAAAATCATGGAGAAATAAACAGAATCAAACACGTTATCTTCCACATTATTGATCAAGGGTTCCGTTGTGTATCGGACATGTCCCTGTTTAAATGGAGGGTCAATTAAAATTACGCTTATAATCCATTTCAAATACTGTATTTCGTTATTTAATCAGATAATTAATGATTTGAAAAAGAGATATTGCAAACTTACATGACATCATGAATTTAAGAAAAATATGTAGGATAAATTTCTTCTCATTCTTTCTGGGTAAACCTTTACAATAGAACGCAACCATATTTTAAGTTCTTGCAGTGAACATTCTCCTTGCCAGAGATTTCATTTATAAATATATTCATAATATGTATAGAGGTTGAAATAAAAATGAGGTTAACAGGTGATTTTATGATTAAAAATATGTTTGTTTGTTCAATATACTTACAATCTCTCTAGTTTGGTGCAGGTTTTTAATGAATCTGAATGAATATCGGCCAATCCTAAAAAATAATTAATAAATTCATAAATTATGCAAAGAAAATCTATCAAATAATTTATCATGAGTTATTTTGAATATTCAGATTTAAGGGATTGTTCAGAATATTTAAGAGATATAAAATCAAGCGATGATAAGAAATTTATCAGTACTTTTGCCTTTAGAAAAGTAAACCTGCAAGGTAAGTTCTTGATCTACTGTAAATTTGGGTCTTTATATTTCCTTTTTATTAGCAGAAGTCAGCCTTTTAGTCTTGTGAACTTTGGGAACAAGCATTGACCTTCATGTTTTGCAGATTTAATTCCTCTTCGATATAAAGAGGTATTGTTACACTGCAGCGATAACTGTCGTTAATTGATCAGCATTTATCTTCTAATTAAAAGTGCCTACATTAGAATATCGAGATAAGGCGTTCAAGACTATCGTTACTTTACACAGTTTCATAACTTTTGCAATTTTATGTTGCTAATCTTGGAATCAATTAAGCATTAATCTCCATCTTATCCTGATCTACGGAGTGATTTTATTCCTTTGATATCCCGTAATGGTAATACTCTGAAGGGATAACTTTAATTTAATAGTTTTCAAGCATGATCCTCAAATTTAAAAATGTCCACGGCGGATATCAAGATCAAGCGCTCAAGATTAACAATACCTACATTAAAGTTCCAATTTCATCCCTTTAATTATAATTAGTGGGAGGAGTTTCCCTTGGTCTCTAATCATGAAGAACTCATGTACACTGTAACCTTGCCTGGCTTGTATTGCATAAAACGTGCTTGGTCGCCTCTTTTAATGTTTAGTGCTGATTTGACAGTACGACTGAATTCATATGCAGTGCTTGTACTGGCTTTGATCATGCAACTTACAGCATTATATTTAAAAAGATGATTACCTGTGTTGGCCAAGGATAATGATGTAAGATTTGAAAGATTTACATTCTTTAAGTATTTTATCTAGACATACAAATGTATACAAAAATATATGTATTTTAATTTTTTAAAATAATTGATTTTGTTTTTACCTTGCTTCCTGATAAATACCTGAAATAAATAAATTGATTTAAGAAAAATTTATCTAAAATAACGAAATGGAATTTGACTTTTAACCAATTTGGGATAATTTTTTCTCAGTTATACTATGGGTGAAACTTATGCTTCTTAAAGGAACCGTAAACTTAATTTAATTAAAAAATAACAATGTCAAATTCACAACAGTACCCTTGAAACATTTATATTATCAATAACGTGGAAGATATTGGCGGTCTTCTAAGTTTCAATAGTTAATTTCTACCAAATATTTTCTATTTTTATCCTGCAGTAGAAATGCGCGAGTCACTTTTGTGGTGAACCCCCGGCCCCATATGAAAGAAATCGGTTATAAACATTTGATATGTTGTTCATACTTTATCAGATTAAATTTTGAAGGATACCATTGTGAATCAAGCATTGCCATCTTTGCATGGAGGCCCACTAGTAATTACGCTTACAGTTCCTTTTAAAAAATAGCCTTCAGTGCTCAGACGGATACTTTCCCTCTCAAAGAAACATTCTCTAATTGTAGTTTTTTAAACTATATTTTTGTGGTTGACCCTTTTAAGGTTTTTGAAAAATATATTATTTTAGCTAACCAAAAAACGATCGTTTTTGTTTTTTCCCATATCTTCTCTCAGGGTTAAATTTTGGCATAGAGTAAGGAAAGCAAATGTTCAGAAAAAAAAAAACTATTTTGAAATTAAAACTTTAATCGTGGAACGCTTAAAATCCAAATAACCGAAATGTTTTGTCCTCTGTCTGTATGTAAACACAAAAAATGGCCAGAATTAATGTCTTAAATGCCCTACAGTTATTCTGAAGTAAAAGCTTCTGTAAACATCATACAATAAACTCCAGAAGTTTAACTGTCTAAAGGGATTGAAGAAGGACAAGGTTTTATTAAGTCCGCACTTAAATAGACAGAATTAAGCAGAATGTTGGATAGATATATAGTCCGACTTTGTGACCTCGTAGCTCCTCTTGTTTTTATTTTACTCAATATATACATCTTTCTATGATCATAGCAGGCAAATATTGACTTGATTGGTTCAGCCGTTTTTACATTTAATTTTATATTTTTATAAAAACATTAATCTGTTATTTTTTTGGTGTGATGTTGTAAAGTCAAGAAAAATAAAATCTCTTAATAGCAAAAATAGAACTCAATGTAATGAATGACGATTCAATACCCCCCCCCCTTCCTCTATGACATCACCTCACGTTTTTCTTAAATTTATAATTGAAGTTAATCGTAAATTAAGGAATGTTTTAAAACTTACTTATTACCATGCTATTAAACTAACACGCCTATTCTTAAACTGAAATTCCTAGACGCCTCTGTTTTCATTCATTTTTAAACCTAAAGGGGCTAATAGGGGTATATTAAATTAATCCTTAATTTAATGGGTGGTATGTTCGATTCACAACATTATTATTCTAACCTAACCATTACATAGATTTCCAAAACTGATTGTTAACATTCTTTAAATATTAATTTTTTATCAAAGTCTAAAACAAAAGTAATTTTTTTATTTCTACTCGATAAATTATATTTGTAGTAAGTTTTGCATCTTAATTTATTTATATCTTTCGCTCCTTCCTTTACTGCAAAATTGTTTGTATAATGTTTAGATAAGATTGCATGCAGTTTGCAAATTCTTTGCAATTTCTTCACCTATTGCACTGTGCGAATATGTGTGCGAATCTGGTAAAAATCAGTTGCTGCAGGGTTTGATGTTGTTAGCAAAGATTGATGAATGTATTCATGCAAACATTTCGCACTAAATCAATCATCAGTGTGTGGGCTGAATCATGTGCATAAATGAGGCACACTTTTACCAGACAGGTTGAATCACCAAAAATAGGCCCGAAAATGCATCTTTTAATCAAAATTGAATAATTTCCTTGCTCTCTGTATAAAATAATAATAAAAACAGTTTTTCAAAAAATGTTGACAAGACACAAAAATGTAGTTAAATATTTTAGTGCATTTTTCACTGGAAATTGATCAACAAAATGGCGTACATTAAAACTACACTTTGGTTTCACAAAAAATATTCTGTTGAACATTTCGCAAAAAAATACGAAATTCCTACCAGTTTATTTAAAAAAAAATACTAAATAAAGATTTTTAAATCAAAACATTCCATTTTCAACGATGATTTGCAAGGCCCCTAGGCCTCGTATGCAAAAAAAGGGTTTGCAAATTTATATTCATTGCAAATTTAGACAGAGGTGAATGTGCAGATTCTCATGTATTCAGTTTAGTCCAGTTGATTTATCTCACAATCATCTGACAAGATATATTTACATATCTTTTCATGAAATATCTTTTTTAATGAAGAAGAAGAAGTATAAGAAGAAGAAGAAGAAGAAGAAGAAGAAGAAGAAGAAGAAGAAGAAGAAGAAGAAGAAGAAGACGATTTGGAAGAAGAAGAAGAAGAAGAAGCAGAAGAAGAAGAAGAAGAAGAATAATAATAATAATAATGAAGAAGAAGAAGAAGAAGAAGAAGAAGAAGAAGAAGAAGAAGAAGAGGAAGAAGAAGAAGAAGAAGAATAAGAAGAAGGAGAAGAAGAAGAAGAAGAAGAAGATGAAGATAAAGAAGAAGAAAAAACTAATATGTGTAAACCGTTAAAATTTAATTTGGCTTCTTTAAGGGGAGTAAAATACAAATGAGATAAAGTATTCTCTAAATCAGGTTTGTTAAAGGGTGTATCCGCAGTATTTAAACTTTTTACAGGGTGTACCGTATTAGTGGTGAGAGGCATTATTTATCAATATCATGGTCGGATATATTTCAGTAGGAAGGGGGTAGATTTAAGTGGGGGGAGGGTTATTTGTTGGATGGGTGGGATGGGAGGGGTGGTGTTGCTGAAAACAGATATAGCTGTGGATAATGAGATATTTTGGATTATACATCAACTATTTTACATAGCTGTTATCAATTTGTAAAAAAAAACGTTTAATTAACTGAAAGATGTTTTTCAAATGTTTTTGTTACCTGAAAAACTCTCATTTTGAAAGTAAGACATTACTTAAAAGATTTATAAATATAGTAAAATGTATTATCATTTTGGACGCTTTTAAAAATACTTGAAACAAAGCTGGGCACCTCTGCTAATGGTATATGTGTAAACCTTTAACTACAGTGAAATACAATAAGAGTAATTTGATTCAATATGATATTAATAGGAAATAATTTGTTTCTACGAATTACTTGCAGCTTCTGCAAATAAATTAAAATATCTAAATAAAGGGTTGTATTTTAGAAACCTCGTTAGATTAAATTGATTAAAAAATATACATTTGGAGATTATACATATTTTTGATTACACAATTATCTACATTTCCTGAAGTGTTGAAGGCTTACTTTAAAAAGAGACAAATTAACACTTATTTTTAAAAAGGCATTGACTTTCTTACCTCTATATTTTTGCAACCTAACGGTGTAAATCTTTGATATTTTAAACTTAGATTATTTTATCTAGCATATTTCATAGATTCAAATATGTAAGGTCTAAAACATCGGGTTGCAAAGATATGGGGATTAGAAAATTTTAGCATGGGGCAGCGGCTCATTACCTTTCAGATAATTTTAGCTAGGGGCAGCGGCTCATTACCTTTTAGATAATTTTAGCTTGGGGCAGCGGCTCATTACCTTTTAGATAATTTTAGCTTGGGGCAGCGGCTCATTACCTTTTAGATAATTTTAGCTTGGGGCAGCGGCTCATTACAATGGGGTAAACTTATTTTTGTACATGCTCCCTGACTACTGAGAGTTGTAAGCTCAGCATGCATAATAAAACATGTTGGTTTATGTTTAGAGGGTCAGACCTAAAAAGCGCAGTTAAAGGGACTGTAAACGAAATTTCAAGTGACCCTACATAAAAAGATTGCAATGCCCTATTTGTAGTGGTACCATAATAGCGTTGTTTGATCAAATATGAATTAGATATTTCTGTTTGTATTGTTTTTTTCCATTTGTGGTTTCAATACAAAAGTGCAGGCTTGCGAACTTTTTGAAATTATAAAAATTAACCACTTTTCGACGTTATCTATCACATTTTATCAGGTTAAGGTTTAAAGGCTACCATGGAAAATCTGGCATTGTCATCATTGCATGGGGAGTCACTTACAATTATGCGTACAGTCTCTTTAAACCAACTGATAATTGGTGCTCAACCCCCCAGGAGACCATTTTTAAACCCAGGCTCAGCCATTAGGCATGGTTTGGTTAGAATAGGTTTGTATATAAGTATATATATATACTTATATATTACAAACTCATATTCTGGACGCTTTCTCAACACTTTTTGTACACAACTAATCTTTGGGATCAAATTTTCATATAGCTATCGTAGAATATGTACTGGAAAAAGAGGAGGATGGGGGGGGGGAGAAATAACTATCCCAAAAAAGACCGAAGACTGAAGTGGCCCTTCATTTAAAGACTATGCTTTTCCGTTTCTTTTTCCGTAGTATTGAGGACGATATCGTTGTTTTATCTTTAATCTTGTTAAATTAGGACACTTCCCTCATTGTCTCTGCATAAACACAAATGTGACTCTTCCAGAGAACCCTGTGTTTTAATAATAATCAACTCTTATATAGAGAAAAATGCCACGCTATAAATGGAGGATCACCTGAAATTATGTTTACAGTCCCTTTGTGTTCACTTTGTGTTGAAGGTCTGATAATGCACACTGCACAATGCATTTTGTTGATTTCCAGTGTGTGGTGGTTAAGATTAGGTTACTAGATATCAAGCATTTAGGGATGGGTAACTTTTTCAAAAACGATCGGAAAACGTTTTTTTAAGTTTCCTTTTGGATTTTCAAAACTGACAAACATTCGTTTTTAGAAAGAAAAAAAAATTGTTAAATCTAACGAAGTGTTAGTTTTAAGCTTTTGAAAGAACTATAATTTAAAACAAATTTATTTTTTTGTTTAAGTTTGATCGCAAATTTGTTTGTTCCAAGGGGGATTTGTAGATTCAAATTTAAATTTG